CCACTTTTGTCTCCGGTGCTCCAAAACGTGTTGCAGCTCTTGCAGAGGCAACACAGAGACGCATATCACGGCCACCGGCTGTGAGATGGAACTTTAAAAGCAGAACTGTGAACGCGGTTTGGGAGACCCGAGAAGCACTTCTTCAGTGTATGGAGCATATACGCACACAACCAGGATGGGATGCGGTCACCATAAGTGAGGCATACGGCCTGTCAAATAAACTGCGGGACCGAGCATTTATGCAGCTCCTGGAGTTTTTTTTGTTGCTTATGCCAGAAGTGGATGTTTTATACAACACTCTGCAAAAACGAAGCATCGATGCACCTGGGATCAACAGCGCGCTCTGCCGTTTCAAGGAAAATGTCCAGAAAATGAGGCAGCAAACTGATGCATTGGCCGCCACCGCTCATGATGGAACAGACGAGCCAGGCCGACGAGTCAGCAGCACAGCGCCGGTGAGGAAGGAGGCTTGTGACACAGTCATCTCACAGGTGGAACAGAGGTTCTCACAGAGTGACCATTTGATCGCTGCAAAGCTCGTTGACAGCTCATTCTTCCCACAGCATGTCCTGTCATTTCCTACACCTGAGCTTGAATGCGACGTGAAATTGTGGCCTGCTTTGGGAAACAAGGAGAAGTTGAAGTCTGAGCTGACCACGCTCTACCGCCACAGTGAGCTTCACACTGGAAACACTGCCCTGTCTCTGTTGAAATCCATTCACGAGAACAACTTGGAGGATACGTTTGCTGAGACTGTTATTTTGGTCAAAATAATAGTAACAACTCCGATGACGACATCCGAGTCAGATAAGAACTTTTCCACCATCAAAAGGATAAAGACTTTCACTCGCAACACCATGGGACAGCATTGGCCATGCTTTCAATTGAAAGCCAGTTGATCCAGCAAAGTACACAAGCAGTACGAGGAATTTAGCGACGCACATAAAGAGGCGACATGGGGTCTGCGGCTGAAAATAAAAACCTGAAAGTAAGACATATGAGTTAAATCACTCAAGTGAGGTGTTATGTCAGTGAGAGTGGTGTTTAGTTTACAGCAGCCTGTGACTGCCAATAATAGTTTAAATGTCTTCCTTACAATTGTAAGCAGTTATGAAATACCTGTCTGTGAAAGGTTATTTGTATTCTTTATTGTCAATATAGAAACCAAACCACTGCTTTCTGCTCACTGGTGAGTTAGCCTATGAATGAGTGTTAAGCTCATCAGTCCGGCAGTTGTATGGGCATTGCTCTACTACATTGTTAATCCTGGGCAATGCATCCTTAAATTGTTTAACTGTGAGGTGTTATAACATTCTACTATACTCTGGAGACAGAAAACACTACTACAAAGGACTTGTGAAAAGGCCTGTTTGTGAAAGGTCCAAGTGTTTTTTTTTAAGGTAAAAAATAAATGTCACGATTCTTGTGTTATGTCACGTTTTTAGTTTTGTGTGTCTGGTAGTGGGTGTTTTGCTTGTCTCCTTGTCATGTTTTCCTCCCTGTGTATTGTCTGGTCTTTTCCCCTGTGTTTTCCTGTCTGTCTTTAGTTTCCCTGGTGTGTTTGATTTCCTGATTGTTTTCACCTGTCACCCCTTCTGTGTCTCCTGTGCTCATCATTGTCAGCCCCGCCCCTGATTGTTCCCACCTGTGTCTTGTTACTGTGAGGTATCTATATATTACTTTGTAAGAGTAAACCCCAGCTCGGTTCAATAACCAGAACACAGTGAACAAAGATAACAGGACTCATGTTTCCAGTTTACTTGCTGCAAGGAGAATCAGCGAGTGACAGGCCATGTCCACTCCTTAACCAACTCTCAGCTAGGAGAGCCAACTCTCCTCGCCTTCTCCTTGGCACCCTCTTTTTATTTCAACAAACAGTTACAAATCATGCATGAGGAAGTGTATGTAACCAACGGCTTATTTGTCAATGGGAGTCTTGTGACTCGCAATCATGTGGGTGAGTGTGTGTGTGTGTGTGTGTGTGTGTATGGTCCACAGAAAAGAGGAACAGCCTATTCTCTGTTCCTCTTTTCTGACTATGGTCTCTTTACAACATAAAATGACAACATATTATGAAAACACGTTTATCCTTCAATAAACTCTAACATTCCCTCCTGTTTTTCATAATTACTAGCTGGTTACAGTGTCTTTATAGTCATTAGCGTCAGACCCAGCAGGGTCACTACACACAACACCTTTCCCAACATAGTCTAGTTGTGATAGTGGTTCTGTTGTTTTCTTCACCGGGGTTGAGACCAGTATTTCCTAATGAAACACCGCCCTTTGTAGCCGGACTTCCACCACTTATCCGTCGTTAAGTTGGAGAGGTATTATCTTTTTGCAGTGGCTCTGATGTATCCACGTAGTTCTTTCGGCGATTTTTAGTGCAGTCGGTGTTGTCAGCAGTACCGTGTAGGGACCGTCCCACCGTGGACAGTGCCAATGCTTACTCTTAATCACCTTCACGAGGACCTGGTCACCAGTCTGCACTCGGGTATCCTGTAAGGGAGTAGAAATGTCTGGCAGGTTATTTGTTCGAGCTATCTCATTACTTCTGAAGAGTCTGCTCATCCATTCAGCTAATGTAGTCTCTGCCTCAGCATCATCCTCCTCCCTCACCTCGTCTGTGATTGGTAATCTGAATTGCCTTCCTGTTATGATCTCAAAGGGAGACAACCCTTTTGCCGTGGGTGTGATTCTCATGCATGTTTCTACTTTCCTCTCTGTGGTCGCTCATTGCCTTGAGCATTGTCTGCAACATACTACACAGGCTCTACAAAAGTTTTTAGAAAATGTAATATAGTTGTATGTATGGAAGTGTTCATTTATTATTGTCACCATCTCCCTCCTGTTGAGACATGGCACGGCCCATGACTCAAATGTGCTGCTGTTTAATAGAGACTAACAGGGAGTACTATCTTGTTGTTTATTCTGAATGTTCCCTCAGGGTCTGTGGTTGCACCATCTGTCAACCATTTCTTCTTTTCTCTGTCGGGTGCGTTGTTCTGCATATCCCTTAATATCACAAGAGGTATTGGTTGTGAAACACTTTCCTCTCTGTGTGTATGCGTCTCCCTTCTCAGTTTAAATTGTGGCCTAAAAAGATCACTTCCTCTTTCACAAACTGAAGTTTCTGTCTTGAAACCTTGTTTCCTGTTTTGGCCAAATGTGTCAGTACTTGTAGTGTGACTTTTGTGCTTTCTTCCTGTGTGGGTGACGCAACAAGAATATCATCTACATATACCAAAATCTGCGATGTGTCAGGTATCTGTAATGTAGCCAAACAATGTGCTATTTCTCATGAAAAGATTGCTGGGCTATCCACATACCCCTGAGGTAATCTGGTGTATGTGTACTTTGTTCCTTCATGTGTGAACCCGAACCATCCTTGTGAGTCTTTTTCTACAGGAATGGAGAAAAAGGCATTGCTCAAGTCTATCACTGAGAACCATGCCATATTTGGCTTAAGGCCGTTCATTAACGTGTGTGGACGTCCTCTTCTTCCTTTTCTACGTCTAGTCAGTTGTCATAACTATGTAGGTTATGTGAAGGGAGGGGGCCATGTCTTTTTGTCTTTGTACTGTCCCTTTTGTCCCCCTTCTTTGTTCTGTGGTCTCTGTTCCTCACAGTCTCTCGCCATGTGCCCCTCCTTTCCGCACCTGTAGCAGAGGAATTTGCCTTCTGCGTTTCTGCCTCCTCCTCTGCCTCTGCCTGTTCCTCTATCATTCCCTCGTCCTCTGTTAAACCCGCCTCTCCCCTGTCCTGGTCCCACAAAGAAAATCTGATTTTCTTCCCCATCTTCTCCTATGAAGAAAGCTGATGCTGACGCTTTCTTATGTCTTTTTTCTTTGATCTGGGTTGCTGCATGTTCTGCATAATTTAGGCACTCTTGTAAGTCGCATGTCCTATGGTTAACATTATGCTTGCGGATAAAGTCAGCAATACCTGGGTGGAACCCATTCATCAGGCTTTGTTTCAGCTGCTGCACATATGGGGAGTCAACAGCATTGTTGGGTGGAATTCCGCTATGGATACGGAAACAATCTTCCATTCTGATTCTGAAATCTTGTACTGACTCTTTTTCTCCCTGTTTACACCCTGAGACTTTAGTAAAGTCTCGTCTCAGTGCAAAAACCCTCTCGATTGAAATATTTACGGGAGCGAGTGCATTTATGAGGTCCTGCTGACCTGGTTCCAGGGGGTTTCCATTGGGCGAGGACCCGGTGAAATCTCCCTTTACCCTGGCCCATTCGTGGCCAAAAATTGTCATAAGGGTTCTTAAAACTTCATGTTTTACTCACAAAACAATATAACATTCTTCAGACTAGTAGTTAACTTTATATAAGTTGTACTCTCTCTGAACTCTTCAAAACATCTACTTCTCCTGTCTATCTCTCTCTGTGCCCTGCAGCTGCTCCTGCACAAGCTTCTCTCATCAATCACCTCTCTGTGTTTAGCCAACAGTGTGCTTTTAGCCTCGTGCAGCACCTCTGTCATGTTTAAACATGAACAGATCCCTCCTGTTTACTTACTCTTTCTTCATAAACACAATTAATGTCTACTAATGATATTACAAAAACTACCTAATGACAAATACCACAAAATTCACAATGCAATGCAATAGTAACAATCAGTTCTCAAAACTTCTCATGAAAACCACAATGTGACGTAACTGCATCCCACAAAAACTATGCTAAACACGACAAATTATAGTTTCTTATTTATTTAAATATCTACGACACATTGATCTATTAATTTTCAATGTTATTCACTCCAACTTCAGACCAGTCGTTGATTATTCACTCCTTGTTTTAAATTCAACGCTCAGCAGCCATTTTTGAGGCATTTTGAGAAGAAGCACAAGCAGTCATACTGCTGCTTCAGCAATTAGAGGAAAGCTGTGAAGAAAAAAGGGGGGCTTTCTTTTTATTCTTTGTTCCTGCGCTTTGTTTTCTTCCACTATCGCTCTCAATTTGTCGCTTAATTCTCTTACTGCTTGGTGTTCCTACTGGACAACGTGCCGGTCAGAACCTAATTCCTAATTCACCACTAGTGTACTTCAACAGACCACAGAGTTTTTGTTATCACCGTTAGGTTTCCACTCTGTGCGCTGATTCCACTTGGTGACACTTTTACACACTGCTTTCACTCATAAGTGTACCCAAAGGCACGTCGATCCTCCTCCTAGGCGGAGTAGCCTTTCTCTATCAACGTTTTATCAACCTCCTTAACGGCGGAGTAGCCTTTCTCTATCAACGTTTTATCAACCTCCTTAACGGCGGAGAAACCTTTCTCAATCAACGTTTTATCAACCTCCTTAACGGCGGAGAAACCTTTCTCTCTATCAACGTTTTATCAACCTCCTTAACGGCGGAGAAACCTTTCTCATAAGTGTACCCAAAGACACGTCAATCCTCCTTAAATGGCGGAGAAGCCTTTCTCTACCTCCTTAAATGGTGGAGAAACCATGTATATCAACTTTTATCTTACCCGTTATCTGTGGTCACTGGTCCGGTTGGATTCCGTCAATCGTGCCGAGGATGAGGGAGGTTGGACATATAAGCACCGGCCCGGCCACGAATTCTGCGTCCCGGGTCTTTCTCGGGGTCGGCTGATGATCCCGGCTGTCGACAGACTTGCGGCGTGTCTTTTCCCTCCTCCTTCCCGTCACGATGTATTGGAATCCGGCTCGAAGGACCAATTAATGTGAGGTATCTATATATTACTTTGTAAGAGTAAACCCCAGCTCGGTTCAATAACCAGAACCCAGTGAACAAAGATAACAGGACTCATGTTTCCAGTTTACTTGCTGCAAGGAGAATCAGCGAGTGACAGGTCATGTCAACTCCAAAACCAACTCTCAGCTAGGAGAATCGGCGAGTGACTTATTTGTCAATGGGAGTCTTGTGACTCGCAATCATGTGGGTGAGTGTGTGTGTGTGTGTGTGTATGGTCCACAGAAAAGAGGAACAGCCTATTCTCTGTTCCTCTTTTCTGACTATGGTCTCTTTACAACATAAAATGACAACATATTATGAAAACACGTTTATCCTTCAATAAACTCTAACAGTTACCCTGTGTTTAAATTCCCCTGTCTCTCAGTGTCAGTTCGTTTTTTGCTATGGTCATGGTCAGGTCTATGCTCCTTGTCTTTTGCCTTGGTCAGGTCTATGCTCTTTGTTCCTCACCACGTGAGCGATTATCATTTTGTTCTCAATTTTTGTCATCTCATCCTGAGATTAGTTATTGACCATCTTTTGCTGTATTTTGGAAAATAAAGTATCCTACCAATACTTTACCTTTGTCTCCCGGGTCGTGCAATTGAGTCCTACCTCCTAAGTGCCTGAGTTCTAACAATAAACACTATAATGGGATGTGTAGTACTAGTAGAGAGAACCAAATATGTGAAGCACTTTTTTGTTAATTTATGATTTGCTGCATATAAGGAACAAAATCCTCGGTCGTACCATATTGAATTGTATCATTATTTTGCATTGTGTTAAATCGCATCGTATCGCATCGCTCGGTGCTTCAAATGTATCGTTAATGTATCGTATCGTTGGCAACGTATCGCATCGGCCTCAGTGATGGAGATGCACATCCCTACTGTATATGTACAATACAATTGAAAACATCTCGATGTGAGACTGGCCTTGATAACCAGGCTATGACTTCATGTCCAGGTCTGTGTCACTAGGGTTAGGCAGTATTACATTTACATGACTCACCGAGCCCCTTGGCGATAGGCCTTACCGTAGGCAGAAGGGCTTTCAGACTACTAAATAATTCACTCATCACAAATCATAGTACAGATTTCATACCAAACACTCCAGTTTCATATTTTGTTTTGTTAAAAACCTGATATAGGTGGTATTTGGCCCCTGATGAACTGCCCCCCACCCCCAGTCTGTAACAAGATGCCCAAAGTACTACACCATGTTTTTCTGTGTATCATGTGTCCGTCGCCCCCACCCCCACCCTGAAACATCTTCTCATTTGCTCAGAGACACTGTGTGAAGGGACAGGAAGGGGTGGTCTTATTGAGGTCTGTGTGAGTGACTTTGAATCCACAATGAAGGAGTTTTACTGTAGGACCGCAGAGAGTTCTATGATCTGGCCATCATTGAAGACTTTGGATGATGGAGCATATATTTTAGTCACTTTAGTTTGAGGACGTTGGTTTGCATCCTTAGTGTGACTTTTGCGAGGGCATTGGTTAGTAAAATAGAAAATATAGTTGATTTAATATGAAAATGGAGGATTCAAACTTCAAAATACTTGAACCAGTCACTCAACCAGTTCTCAACCGGTAATACAAATGTGACCTGCTCCATCGAAATCAGTCGCATTGCCCCGAAGACACATTTGTGAAAGAGGAAATTCCTAGCTTTCTAATGATATCAGGATTGTTTTTGTTCTCCAAATATGAAGCGAAATATGTCACATTATATAATGACTGTCACCGAGTCATCATTTTGAGAAAAAGGCCTTTTAAAGTTTCCTCTTCTCTGGAATCCATCGATCTGATTGATTATTAGCGGAGCAAATTATCAAAATACTACGGAGGGAAGATATTTTCGTTTGGATTACTGGTCTGGGGGAAGTGTGTGTGTGTGTGTGTGTGTGTGTGTGTGTGTGTGTGTGTGTGTGTGTGTGTGTGTACGCACGCACGCAGGGCTGCCAACCTTTGAGTTCAGCTTGGAGTGAGATTTCTTTTTTGGTGAACCAAAAAAAGAAATGTGTAAAGTGTTACAAATATATTGAACATGTACAAACTAGTGTTTCCCATTAATGTACCGGGCGCTACAGTGGAATACACAGTATACCCGCGACTCTTACAACGAAGGCTCGATAATCAGCTCGCGGCATATAGGTGTAAGCAGAGGTAAAGTGATATTTTATGGGGGGGGACCTCACCTCACCTCACCTCCTCTAGGGGGGTCCGGGGGCATGCTCCCCCAGGAAGATTTCTATTAAAATATTGAAGTTAAAACCATGAATCTGGTGCACTTTGAGAGCTAAATTAAGAGATCTATGGATACATCTCTCAACAACCATATGAAACAGAACTGTACACAGATTTTCTTTTTCTTTATGGATATTTTACAAATCACACCCCTTTTTAAACTGTATTCTTGTTTTACTGTCATAGTATTTAAAGGGATAGTGGAAACCCGTGAATTTTGGGTTTAACTTATGTATTTGTATTACAAATAAGCATAATAAACAATTTTTTTTAATTTCATGCGCCTAGTTTCATTTTATTTTCAATTTTACTGCGCCCTCTCAATGAAACGAAATACTTCGGGAATCGTCGGGAATCTTCGGGTGATGACGAGAGCAGAGGAAGACGGGCACAAACAATGGCGGACATTCAATAGCATTTGCATGTGAATAGCCGACCTTTATTATGGTGAATAGATGTGTTTTGTATGGCTGTAGTGCGACAGCAAATGCAGAGAATGGCGTATCGACTCATGCGTTTCCAAGAAACCCAGCCATTCGTCGTCAGTGGGTGAAATTTGTTCAGAAATGTTCACTATAGGTAATACTATAAGACTGTAAGACGGCAATACTTTATATTGCCATAAATATGATGATTGATTATCAGTAAAAAATTCTACGTGACACAACGACATTGGATTAACCTTGAGATGCGTTTTTATTCCGTTGAACACAACTTTTGATCACAAATCAAAAAAGGTAAGACGTAATTATTGTAATATTTTTGGAACCGGATGTTGTTTACTTTCTCTTTTCTGGCTGATAGCTCCAGGAATTCGAGGTCTTACAGTGATGATTACATGTGTGGAGTCTCAGCTTTAAATGGTATATCTTGTTTGTGCAGTTAAGATAGTAATAAGGGCATTTCTACCGTGTGTTGTGTGTAAAAAAGCGTTAGCATTAGTTAGCATTGTTTCGCTCAATGCTAATTCAAAGGCTTGGTATTACTCTTGTGTTTTTTCTAGCTAACAATTGTTCTTATTGTCAGTTAGCGGAGTTTCTTACCTTTAAAAGGGTATGAAACATTATTAGTTTCATAAATGTTAAGAAGCCCTGAGACATGTGAGAGAAAAAAAACTGTGGGAGGGGTCCACTGGGGGGACCTTCGGGCTTAACTGGTTAACAATGATTCATATTTGTAAAGGCTACAGGTGATCTTAAGATGCGTGAGCTATGCTTAGGGACCTACCAGTCAAGATTATTTGTGCGTAGGGGTGCATCATCTGGCGCCTGGTCCTGGTCATCCTCGCCATTGCCCATGCCGTGAACCATCACCTCGGGCTCGAACAAATAAGGACGTAATGGTCCATCGTCTGGCTCAATATTGTCACCATCGTCGCTTACTGAACCGGATTCAGATTCAGTTCCTAAAACGACATTTTCGTAGGAAAGCCGAGAGGATGTTTCTGACTCGCTATCATCACTGGATACCTCGTACAATCCTTCTTCTTTGTCTGGTATATTTGCCCTTCCACGTTCATTCTGCATAGACGCCATAGTTTGTTATCGTATCGTCTTCCTGAGTTTTCGTCACTTCCGGTTTGGCTGAGTCGAACATTTCGTTTCTAAAAAACTTTGGGGAAGCTGCAATAAAGTGCTTCTAACATGCGTAAGGCAATTATTATATATTTTTAATCAGGTGTGATTGTTTTGGTACGTAATTATGCTTGTATATAAGTTAAAACGAAACTATTTGAGGTTCCATTTCCACTATCCCTTTAATAACTGTTTTTCATTTATTCTCATAAATGGTGACCAAACCGTTTGAGACCGACTGAGATAACTAGACTAAAGTTAACTATCTAAACCAGGGGTGTCAAACTCAATTTCATCGCGGGCCACATTAGCATTATCGTTGCTGTCACGGTGTGTGAAGCAGGTAGGACCCAAATGCAGATTAAAGTGCAAATTCCTTTATTTCAAGGCTAGGTGAACAACAAAGACAAAACAGAACACTCACCGACGAACTAGTCATGACAAGACGAACTGACAAAGACAGACAGAAAAACCAGAACTTAAATACACACAAGACTAATCACACAAACAAGACACAGGTGAGGAGGGAGGAGAAAACACAGGGGCCACAGGTGAACACAATCGGGTAATCAGACACACCAGGGAAACTAACGACAGGGAACCACAGACAAATCCAAACAAGACAAAACACAACGCAGACAGAAAACCAAAAACAGATATAGACAAGACAAAACACCACAAAGACAGATCGTGACAGTTGCACTCAAAGCGCCGGTTGTAACTTTAAGACTATATAAATATATAACATATATAAAATAATGTATTACAGTATATTACATTATTGCCTCTGCATTGGATTATTATCGGATAGGGTAATAACTTCATAATGAACTACGTCTGAAGGCAAAAGTCTAGGGCAAATCATTACAAGTCTCTTCAGTGTGCATGTCACAAAATGAGATGCATTGTGGGACATGTAGTTTATTGGCAACGTGCTTCTGTAAAGCGGCATGTAACCGTATAATAAACGTATTATATTCTTTGCAAGCTCTTGCAGGGCCACATAAAAGGAAGTTGCGGGCCGGATTTGGCCCCCGGGCCTTGAGTTTGACACCCCTGATCTAAACACTCAGAGAGTCCCTTACCTCACTGAGCTGTAGTTATCTCTCTCTGTCTGACAGGACAGAGCTCTCCCTCTCTTTGTTTTAGAAACAGCTTCTAATATCCGTCATCTAGCGCAGCTAGCTAACCAGATGCTAACAACAACAATGCAAATAGTGAGTTTGGTAGAAATATACTGTATAATAGTAAAGTTATTGAAGATGATGCCATATTTATTAAAGATTTTACATTATAAATATT